CATTGATAATAATTAAACGAATTGCAGTTTTTGTGAAAACAGCGCATTTGAACTATTTCCATACCGTTAAAGATTCCCAAAAAACAATATTATTGCAAACTTACAAGTGTACTAAGCCTCAAACTTATTTCCAGCAAGCAAAGCAAACAGCCTCACAATATCACAAAACTCTTCTAATTGAAGGGCATGGCGAGCATGAAGCAGCTTAACAGCCGTTTATATCGAACAAGCAGCTGCCCTGGGACATGTAACACAAAACGCTGCCTGCTCTTGCCTGAGCCACCCTGGAATTGAACAATAAAATAAATGATATGTGCTCAAGTAACGCACCGCCCGTTTTTAAATTCAATAAAATTTTATGAAAATGCGCACGTCATTGGGCGGCGGCGCGGCGCAACGTTGCCGATTAAGTTGTAACATGTGCGCACACGAAGGAGCAAAGGGGGAAAAAAAAGGGTCAAGGCGCTTGGCATATTGGCTTTTATGACAACGGTCAAGGGGCGTAAAAAGCGGTTCCCTATAGAAAGCAGCAGCGGCGACAGCAGCAGCATAAGAAGAAAAACTATATAATCAGCATTAAAAAGTCTTCCCAGCAGCATGCAACAGCTGCTGCAACAATGGGCAGCTATTCAAAGAAAAACCGTGACACATTTTTCACAAGCACGAACATATACATACATACTAACACATACACAACAATCGAAACGTGCTGAAGAAAAATCTGCTCATTTAATTTTCACAAAAATAAATGCGCACTATAAATTTTTCATAATTGGCAACGCGTCGTGGCACACACCCAGTGGCAGTTGACATTGCACAAATATTGTTTTTCCTTTCCTTCTTTATTTGCACATATTTCGCTTTATTTGGAATTTTAATTAAAAATATTTTTATTTATCGAATTGATTTGGTTTGTTTCATTTCATACACGAGCATCGCGCATTGTGCTGTACTCGCGATTCTGACAAATGTGCGGCCATAATTTACGTTTGTCAGGGCATGTGTGACATTTATTACAACATTTTTAAGGTGCTGTCTGGCCTAATAAATTAGTAGCATTTAAAGTCGAAATTGTGGCTGCCAAGTCAGAGTCAGAGTTCCATATTGAATAAATCAAGCAATCGCAATGTTATGCGAATTTTTGCTTTGCAAGAATGCAGCCAAGGAGAGCAGAATAAACGAAAATATCGGATTTATAGTAATGAGTTGATGGATACATAAATGTAAAACGAATTCCCATTCGCTCAATAAATATTAATGTGTTTATTTATTATGTGGCAAACAAAATATATTGCACAAGCGAGCTACTACTTTCCCTTATAAGATATTCAATAGAACACAATATTTTGATGCTGTCCCACTGAACACAAATAAGCCTTAAAGTGTCTGGAATAAACTAGACTACACTAGGCTCTTTGGCAGCTTATTTTAGTAGTTCGTTTATAATTCAACTTTGGGTTCCAGAGGTAATATAGTATAAATTTAAAGGATTTACTACTTTTGGCTAAAGAGATCAAGAGAAGACTTTATTAAAATCATCCGAGTGTTTTTTGATGACGGAGCAATATTATTATTATTATAAATCGTGAATGTTGAATTCTTCTGAAATTAGCTGAATTCCCAAACGCCAATCCTATTAAAGCTCTTTTTTGTTGTTTTTGCGGTTGTATACAATCCCTGTTTGCTATGTTTGTTGGCTTTCTACACGAGGTATTCGCTGTTTCGGCATTTTCAATATCAATATGAATAAAAGACTAATCACCACATGTACTTTAATCTTTAAAAATCGATCTTGAATAGAGAACTGTAATATCACCTCTATATGTTATTTTCATATAACCTACACCGGAAATAGGACTGTAAGTAGAACGAAAAGTCTTGTTATTATAGTATATATAACAAAACGAATCAATATAGACAATCTGGGTCACCAGATTTCGTACGTAGCACGTTTTTAACAAATCATATATAGTCACATTATTTTAATAATCTGCGATAGGGGCGATCGGTGCAAATATTTGTAGGATAACTTATTGTTTATGAAGAGTCTGCAACTAAACTTATTATTTGTGCCCTATTCTTAAATTTAATTATAATTGATGCACTATATAATACCATAGGAACGATCAGTGCTGTGTTGTTTAGTTACCGATTGAAAAATGCTCGAAAGCAAAATCTGCAAGCTGTGAGGCTTATATGTTAAAGTCACTCACGGGGCGCTTCACTGCGCTGACTCTCTTACTTAACACTTACGGCTTCTGTAAATTTACTTAAGTTATTTGCCTTTTTTGTTGTTGTGTGTACATGGTTGTGTCAGGCTGCTTGTCAGACCCAAAGGCCCCGAACAGCAAAGGGCAAGTGTGTGTTGTTTTGTTGCCAAAACAGTGGATTTTGGTTTTGCTTCTCTCTGTCACGGTAATTCCTATTTTATAAGCAACAACAGAAACAACAGCAAGCATTACAACAATGCCAGCAGCTGGGAATAACCGTGTGCGATATGTAGATGCAGAGTGTCGACTGCGAGCGTGTCAAAGTTGGTATTAGAACTGACATGCCTGCAGGGACAAAGGCCAGGCGCAAGCGTTGAAGTATGTAAGAGCCAAGTGTGTGTGTGTGTGTGTGTATGCACATAACTATATACGTATATGTCTCAACTTGATAGAGTTTTATGCACAGTTAGTCTCTTGCCACACACCGAGCGCTGGTTAATAGCCGATGGGCCTTAAGCACGTGGCATACATACAAAATTGAAGTGACATGGCGTCCATTTGTCTTTGGAGTAAGTTCCGTCTTTTTTATATATGTAATTTATGAAAATTGAAATCCGATTTTGTCAAAAAATGTACTCCAATGAAGAGCTTAAAGTTGACTTCAACTTACATTTGGGAATCACCACAGAGCTCTCCGAAAATGCCAATAAAAAATAAGCCCGTGTGCATATAAATAAACAACTTATACTTGGCCAAGTGCCACAATTCGGCTTACCTGTCGTATGCGCAATATTTGTCAACGTGCTTCCTCTTTCGCCGTACCACACGTGTGCACAGTGGAAGCAACTTAGTTGAGTGCTCCATTTTAGCATCATCATTGCTCATTGTTGTCTGAATGTTCCCCCCTTCGGCTTTTTTATTTTTTAGTTATTCACTTTTATTTGCTCTACGATTTATTTATTCAAAAGCACAACAATTTTCGCAATTCTTTATTTGCTTTTTAGCTAAACTTCAAGTCTAGTCTTTTGTACCGTCTCCAATTTCAATGGCCTGTCGCTCTTTACATTCAAGCGCTGTCTGTATTTTTGGTCTTTCACTTTTGGCTTGTTTAGCTTTTCATGGGCGCTCACAAAGGCTCACAATCTGAAGTATGTATGAGGTGGGAGGAAAGGAGGCAGTTTTTACTGCAAGTCATGAATGCTATTTGGCAGGAATATTTGACGTCATTATAAGTACAGATGTGTATAAGTATGTCTATATGTGTGTACATATATATATATATATATATTTAAGTATGTGCAGCTTACTCTTCCAGCACTTATTTATATATTTATATAGTAAATATATAGTATAATCATGGCCAAAACAGGCAGATGCTTTAAGATGGTGGCATCGCAACCCAATTGAGACATATAGGACCTAAAGAGCTCTTTTTTTGCATTGAATCTTATTCCGGCTGGAACACTCCTATACCATCTTCTTTCGTTTTTTTCGACCATTCGCACCTATTCTTAAGTCTTTCAGGAGTGAAAACTGTTCGAAAAAATGGTATTAATCCATTTTTTCCGATACTTAAATGCGTTTCAAAGGTGTTTCAGTCATTTAATTATTATTATTATTTTTTTGCACCTTTTGATTCTTATACAACAGCTGCTTACCAAACTGTGCCCATAATGTGCAGAAATAATTTGAAATTGAGGCCCATTAGCAATTTTAAGCCATTAAAAACACATTCACACACAACACATTGACACACTTCATAGCCGACAGCAGCAAAGAATGCCTAAAGGCGAGCTAAATGAAGCTCACGTGCTTCACCTAAATTGCCTGCCAGCGTAAATTACGCGCATAAAATGAACATTAGATTCATATTTTAATGTGTCTGCAAGCTTCACCACGTATGTATGTGATTGTGAGTGTTGCGGAACTCAAACATATACACATCGTAAATAAAAACAAGTGAGCCTTGACGGCAAGCAGCAGAAGCAGCAGCAGCAGGAAAACAAAAAGGTTATGCCAAATAACCTGAAGCTATTGCGAACACAAACAAACAAACGCACACACATACACAGAGGCATGTGTCTGCAGTCGACGCTCTTATTTCCCTTACAAATGAGCTTATTATGCGCTCAAGTCACAAAGTCATTGCGACTTAAAAGGATTTGCATGTGATTAGCCGTACAAAATGTAAACAAAAATTGTTGTTATGTCGAAAGACAAAAACGCGACCGACGCAATGACAGTCTGTAAGCAGTTGAGCAGCAGAGCAGGCAAAATTGCAGCATATACATACATATATATACTGTATGAAAACCGTAACAACAATGAACACATCATAAGCATAATTTGTGTTGCCTACTTTTTGGGGCGCCCTTGAAGTACGCACGTGGGTGCTGTATTTCTAGTGTTCGAGTGTGTATGTGATTGTCTGCTGACATTACACGCATAATTTAGCTAACCATATGTAGGCAGACACCATAGCTAATAGGTACACTTACAGCAGCAGCTCGTTGTCCTTGACACCAGCCGGCGCATCTGCATGTTAATTTCTGCATTTCAAATCGATAAGCCTGGCAAGCAGCATTCACGACAATAAAATTAACTGACAGGCAACTTGAAGTGTCGCGCTTCAATTGCCTTGAATAATGGCGCACAGACGCAGCATTTTTTTCTCTCTCTTTCATTTGCTTGCATAATAGGCAACTAAGCTGAAATGAGTTTGCACAAAAGCATAGACGAAGACAACGACAGCAGTCGAAAGTGGAGCAAATAAAAAACGCTTTACATTACCTTTTAGCCAAGTCTTTGGCGCCCGTGTCTGTCAAGCTGTGTAATTGAAGCTGACTTGAAAGTGTTGTCGGCACACTGCAAAGAAGATGGGGTATTGATTATTTCAGTAGACACCTGCATAAGGTTTTAAAAAAAGAGCTCAAAGCGCTGTACGTCTTAGGAAAATGCATAGAAAACTTCAAGATTTACAGAGCTGTTTAAAATAATTCGAATAATCGGTTGCATTTGATAATAATATCAGCAATTTAGATATTTTCCAAAAACAGACAGATGGACATTATGATGTATCTTGCAGACACTCCCTGTATATAGCGTAATAAATTATTTCTGATTATGTTTTATTGTAGAAATTAATTTGTTCAACAAATATTCATAGCATTTCGAATTTATGTTCAAGAAAATCAGGAAAATCATATATTGAATATTATTTTTTAAGCGATATGAAATAATAATGCTTTAATCACACCTTTCACATCTTTATTCCTGAAGGGTGTGTTTCTTACTCGGCACATCTGAGTAAGCTGTGGAAAGGCCTTTAAGGTTTTAGTGACCATTTTGTCAGAACAAACAGAACATACATAAAATACTATACAAACAATATACACTAATATACACAGTTAAAATCTCATTACCCTGACCAAAATGGCATTCGATTCTAGCGACTACAAACTATTGGAGTTCTCTACGCACAAGGAGTATGTCGCTTCATTCGCCCGGACCGAAGATCATCGCTACTTACAAAATAGTAAGCTCGTGAAACAAATTGTGCAACTGGGATTTCGCACCAAGGCTGGTAAAGTCTTAAGTCACGATGAATTTGACGATCGCAAAAAGCTCTTGAAAGAACGGCTTGCGCCAAAAGTAATCGAAACAAAACTCTATTGTAAATATTTCACCGGCAAAGATCCGGTACTACGGGAGCTAGCAGTTCGCGAAGCACCTAATGTAGTGCAGCTTATATCAGTGAGTACCATTAACTAAACAAATATTGATTATATTAAATGTATTGGTCCTTTGCTAGACTATCATTTTTCTGCAGGTACGTCAGCGCAACGGCTTTTACATAAGCGGTTATATAGACTACGAAAATAGTTTGCGTCAAGCCAGCATGCACATGCCCGGCGCAACAAATTGGCGAGGAATATTTGAGCAGCGCATTCTCCTGAGACCCAAGCCCACTGATCTAAGCTTTTATGACTGGCACAAGAACTATGTGTCGTACAGTGATAACGATAACTACAGGGTAGCTCACAGACCAAAGCAAGGTATTTTGTTTTTTCACAAAGGTGATCACAAGATGATACCAGCTAGTTCGAAGTTGTGTGAGTTTTCTCACAATGTCGAAAGAAAAATGATTTATTCTGATATTTATGGTTATGTTGTATTTTACGATCATTTGGTGCGGAAGAAGAAATAAACTCATAAGCAATATCGATTGAAATTTGTGCATATTTTTCATATCCAATACACATAATACATGTAACAGAACAAACAACTTTCCAATATTGTTTCCCAAACTTTTCATAACCTATTTGTTCATAAAAAGGAAATGTGGGAGCCCAGCTGCATTTCAAGAATATAAGGATTACTCTGGCTAATTAAAAACTAGGCTTTGCGTTTGTATTATAAAGCCATTCTTGCTTAATGAAAGCATTTTGTGACCGTAGGAACTACCACAGAGCGACTTATTTAGATTAAAATGTTGCTCAACATTAGCATTTATTCGAATTCAAGGGTGCTGCATAAAATATATGCATTTGAGGACGACTTATTTATTATTAAAACCTTATTTATTATTAAAACCTTTTATCGCGGGCGTTTCGACGAATTTAATTAATGTTTAATATCAGTATTTATAGTAAGAGAAATCTAAAAAAAAAAACACTTCAAATAATATAATCGAACCACGTATAGGAGCAATTTACTGCACTAATTTGTCATAAAAGTTTCCATAAAGTCCAACATCGCACCATCTACGAGTATATTCTAATAATCTTTGGACAACTTCCTCTCAAAATTATGTAATATATAAGAAATCAAATGCAGCCTTAGCTTCGAGCAGAAAACAACCAGTTAGTCCGGTATTTTTGTGTATTTCATAAGCTTTTTTCTGCAATATATGTTAACATTTGAAAACAGGTCAAGCGCGTACTATCAGCAGACGTGCGAAGAGCCCACACTCGTGCAAAAGTGTCTCGCAACTGTTCCAGGTGTTGCGATAAAGCAGCGCAGACGGACTGAGCAGCTGATTTTGCGAGAATTCACACTTCTGGAGATTGCACTCGAAACGAACGTCTGTGTGGACGCCGTGCACCAAAGTGTATTTCAAAACCAATGTCGAAGTGCACTCGTCCGGGGTATCCAGTCTAAGCTGATAATGGAGTGAGGTCGTTAGCTTCGCCATATCATGGGGCGATAGGTCACCCTCTTCTGGCACTTCCCACATGAACATCACGGACCAGCTGAGATTGAAGACACGGTAGTCGGCCACGTTCACATACTCATTACGTGGAAACTTGAGCTTGTAGAAGGGCTTTATGTGCAGCATGCGTATGGAGATGCGTGGCTGCTGCATCAGCAACATAACCTCTTGCAGCATGCTATGTTGTGACTCGAATGAGCGATGCCGCTCCCGCAGTCCTTCCAGCAGTTCCATTCCCGTTTTGGTGCGCCACTCGCACTCAGACTCATGAGTCTTGAGCTTGCTATAAGCGTTTCTCCAGGGGCAACCAATTAATTTATATCTACAGTATGCCAGGCGCTGTTCGCACTCGTAGAGAGCGTGCTCCCGGATGAGAGCACGCGTCATATGAGCACCACAGTAGAAACACTGGGCCGGCATCTCGGAAATGGTGCCCTCTGCCACCAGATTGCGTGCGGGATTGTGGCGATATATGCGAACATGGCACCTGGGACAGGTGCCCAGCTCGGAGCCCTGTGCCTTGTCCATTACGCGTATTTGGTAGCAACCGGCGCAGAAGAGATGACCATGCTGACACTGATAGATTGGTGAGTGGGGTATTATCTCGCAGACCACACAACGCAGCACCTGTTGTAGACGACGTTCCAGGCTGGGCCCATTGCTAATATTGATGTCGCTATCCGACGTTTTGCTTACAGTCATGCAACAATGGGTGGGCACATTGTATAATTCGCTGTCAATATCGGGCATTGGCAATCGGCAGTCCAGTCTACTTTCCTCGCTTTCCTGTGATGGACCTTCCGATTGCTCGGGTTCGGGTGTTTGCTCGCCCGAGTCCGACATAACGCTTTGTGTGGTTGATACTGCGACTTTTAACCAAACCAGAAGCGTTTCATACAAAATGTCGGGGGGATTTCTTGCATAAAAATATATCAGCTTGATGTCGGGTTACTCCATTTGGAGTTTCCCAACAGTCTATTTATTGTTTGTGTGTTGTTCTGACTTTCACAGAACAGTAAACTCCAGATCACTACAATTAACCAAAACTTTGCAAGAACTTCAATAAAACCAAGAAAAACTTAATGTATTTCCAACTATCTGTATACCTTAAAAGAATTATATTAATGATTATAGAAATATATTGATTCCGCAATCTTGTCGATAGCTAATATTTAAAAAAGATTAATAAAAGTTAATGCAAAGTTTAAAAAAAATTGCCCTGATTGTTGGTCAAATCGATAATGCCAGCGGAATGTCCTTTGAAAAATATTTTTCAGGGTGTTGTTAGATAGAGAAACAACAACTCATCATAGCTACAATTTATTTTCTCCTTTGGCTGCATACACATTTTAGTTTTCTTTGTCCTTAAACTTAAACCTACATTTTTAGACCCTCACAACTCTCACTGCTAAATGGTAAGGCCCAAGCAACGACCTCTCTGACATTTAAGTACCTCCGGCTGCCTGCTTTAGTAGCACATGCCGTACATTCTTTGCAACCAGCACATCGTTTGAAGTTTTCAGTGGCGCCATTTCTTAGCCATGACCATGAAATTGCAAGTAAATTGTTGGCCTGGACAATGCAACTGCAGCACCAACAGTCAGCAGAAATGTCTCATTGTGTTTTGTAGCTGGCACAAAGGAGACCAGAGACACATGGATTCCGAGGGAAATGAAATCGTGGACATGGTTACCATAACATTGTTAACTGACATTGCAAATCTTTTGCCATGACACTAAGCGCTTTTTAATTAGTTTTCTACTGGGGTCATGGCTAATGGTATCATAGCCACTTAATGTTATGCACTCTGTATAGGATTTACAATATTTTATATGTAGGGCAAGAAAGAAAATCTGTGTGTTCATTCTGTCTGCCATTCACTTAGCAAAGAGTAAAAGCCTTGCCTAAAATATGAAAACAACATCATTCGTTTCGTTGGTTCAACGACAAAAGCACAAAGAGTAACACCCTAACACTTGATATACGGCCCCAGCCAATGAAATCTTAAAGCCGGTTAAGGGTTAAAGTTAAAGCTAAATAATAAACAATTGTAAATCATTTCAACAAATGCCAGCCACGTGATTTCCGTTCCCTAAAGCACGTGCTCTCAGTCGGCTAACTTCCGGCGCAGCCAGCAGCTGCCAAAGCAGAAATTATTGGCCCAACGTTTAAGCGCAATAAATATGTTTGATTGCTGGCAGCTTTCCAAATATACCTACTCGCGCTAACGCCATTTTGCAACTTGCAGCCAGAGTACACGCTTCGAGGACACGATACCGGAGCAGTCCTTGAAAAGCTCACGAACCGGCAAAAATTTGTAATTCACACAAGTAAATCGCTTCAAGCTGTTTGTTATGCAGTTTTTAATAGTCGCTGATTGTATACGTATTGTACAAACTTCGAGCAGGGGGCCAAGCAGTTAAAAAAAAAACAGACTCGAAACGATATGGGTTGCGGAAAACTGTGCCATTAAGTCTGTCAACTAATCGTAGAACACATTATGAATATTGGTTATTATAAGAACGTTCGTTGGAGGATCTTTACTTCATTTATATATTCATTTAATACTCTTCGTTAGCATGGAGTATGTTATTTGGATAATAAAAGCTTATCTTCTCTGCCTAAGAATGTGCACAGGTTTTGACGAAACGAATATCGGAGTTCAGGCCAGTTAGCCGTTAGAAATAATTGATCAGCAGAAGTCAACTGTAGACGTTCACAAGGCACAGGGCGTATGTACTGTCAGCCTTACATCATACATATTCATGCATAAGTGGCCATTTGAGACAGATTCGGGATTAATTTAAGCAACTAACAAATTCATATTATCATGCATGAGTCGGAGAAAGTTCGACAACTTAACGTTAAAATTTGATATTCAACTTTATACTTAAGAATAATTAAGCATATAATAATATTGAATAATGGTATTCTTTTATTAACGCGGCATCCGCACAAATTCTATTTCGAACAGATACAATACTTCTTGCCAACTTTATCATCTATACATTTGGAAACGTTATTATACAGGTCCAATCGACTAATTGAATCTATAGGCAAATTTTCAATCTTTTTCTTTTTCTTATTATAACGAACTGTGGCCGAAAATTCGGCTTCTTCAGGATTAGCAATAATGTGGAAACGATAGACGATTTGATTAGATCCCGTTTTGTCCTTTACTCTACGTTCTGCATATTTGATTGTTTTTAGTGACAAACGTTTGCAGTCATATTTTTTGAATGTGGTTCTTAAATGGGTATTAATTTGGTCGATGATTTGCTTAGCTATGGGCAACTTCTGCGCTTGTTTGGAGCTTATGGTCTCATACAGGTCACAGGTGCAATAATGTTCAGGTATTCCCGCATCCAAACATGTGCGGTTCTCGGCTAGTGGTTTGAAGTGCGTTTGACAATGGGGGCAATCCTCCGGCGGAACCAACGGATTTGTCTTTCCTTCACCTAACTGTAGAATATGTTGAAGTGTCATGTGCAAATCGAAGGGAGATGACAAGCGATTTCTATTCGCACGTAATGCCTTCACTATCTCCGGATGCTGCTGTCGAAACCAGGCGGGCAGCCATATAAACAGTATTGGCAACCGTTCCTCCAAAAAACCCTGAGGTAGTGCACGTAATGGACCATAACGCATGCCGTGATCACTGAAGAAAATAACAATTGATTCTTCGAATAGACCTATTTTCTCAAACCGCTCCATATAATCTAGTAATGTGGGTTCCAGCGTTTGTGCCGCTTCAAAAATGTCATGCGTAACGCTGGAGGTCCAAAACAGGCCAAATAGGGGATTCGTGCTGTTCTTGTAATGCTCGAAACACTGCTGGCAATAATCATAAATATAATCCACATTAAAACGCCTCCCAATGCAGTTATATCGATAAAATCGCTTCACAATTGGCAAGTTTTTCTCAATAGCCAAGTAAAATGGACGCAAATAGTGGTCCACAGGCTGATTTACAAATCCTTTTAGCAAGTATATAAATGTGTTTAAGTAGCCCATATCCTCGCCATAGGCCGTCATATAGCCGGCCTTCTTATAGAGCTGCCATATGAAGGGCAGCTTGTCAAGGCAACCCACCGATTTGGTATTGCAAATTTCAATATCAGCTGTCTCTGGACTGTAACCCGTAAGTACTGCCAAGAGATTGGGAAAAGTGTTGTCTCCCATTTTGTTGTAGCCCTGCATTTCAAACCAACCAGACCGCTGCACATACTGCAGCATGTCGGGCATAGTACGACGGAAATTAATGCGCGAGAGACTATCAATGCCCAGCATTATGACGTTAAGCTTTCGGGTTGGCTTGGATGGAAACAACGTCAGTGGTGGGTGAGGGGTTGGCTTCGGAGATGACTTCAAAGGTAACTTTAATGGTAGATGTACTGGTAGCTGCAAGCTTTGCGGCTTGGATTGTACAAAGGAAAAGGCATCTTCTTGCAGCAGTTTGCCACTGCTACTCGTGCAGTTAACAATCATGCCCTCTACATCGATCGGCACATAGTAGCCGTTTGAAAATGGAATATCCGCGCTTAGGCTGTAATATGAGAAAATTAAAACTCTTCTGAAATTTCTAATAACAATAACACACTAAGCACAATACTAAAATAGTCATTCAACTTTTCAACGAATTAAGAACCTGTTGGTTTTCATAAATTTCCACAATGATACTGATAAACATATCGACTTATTCTTATCCCGATAAATCTTCAAATGTATTTACTGGCAATGCTTGCTTTTATTTTAAAACATATTACACTTTCCGAAAAAAGTTTTTATTTACTTAATAACCCTACAGTTCGAAAAATAAACCGTTTTCGAGTTGAAAAGCAAATCTAATCATATTTCAAACATGAACTTACTTGTAACTTTTATCCGCGTTCGGACCCTCCCCAGCTCGCATAATACTTCGATAGCTGCAGTTGTAGATCAATTTTGTTGACTTGTTAATAGTCGGGGACGTGTCTAATAAACGCGCCACGCTGTCGTTCGTATACAATATATATTGCTTGCGCTTAGAATCGTACACTCTCCGTACCAGATCCTCACCTAGTGTACACTCTTCGTCAGGCTGTGTGCGCCAGATTGACATAAGTTCCCAGCTAAATAGACTCACATAAGGTACGCTACAGGTTGAAGTATTAACGTAAAATCTGTTGGATGTTGTTTTGAAAAGAAGATGACGACGCAGCCTCTCGATGTGATGGTAGCCATATAAGACAGTTAGTGTAATCAGAAAAATAAGCAAACAAACCGAGAATATAGACGTCCGCATCGTTTAATCAAAAATAAGAGTGAAAGCCGTATTTCTCATTGTTGACCGAAAGATTTGTCACGGGGTAGTAATGGTGCGATTGACAAGCCGCAGTTAATGTACCGTTTGCTATTATTGGAGTGAATTAAGATTGTTTATTACACCCCACATACAGGCGGCTTGTTTATTTTTATTAACTATTATTATTGTTAAATTAAGCTAAGTATAAAAAACAATTGTTTTATTGAATGTTTTTGAAAACATTATCAGTAACAATAACAGTTGTCACCTCATTTACTATGTCGTTGATTTTTGATAAATATTGTGACTAAATCGCAGCTCGCAAGTATTTGAGCAGCACTAGCAGGTTAAAATCGCTAGACCGTTAATAGCCATGCAAATATGTAATTCAGACAAATTATAAAAAAAAAATTAACAAAAAAACCGACTTCAATAACAAGTCTTCAAAACAAACGAATATACTATACACTAGAAAGTAAAATAATTGCGTAAGGTACAATAATGTTAGGTACAATTATTGTTATTTTTGGAGCCGGTCAGCCAACGTAGATTAAATATGTTTAAAATATTAAATATGAAATTTCTCCGCACAAGACCTATTTAGAGCAAACGCACAATTTTTTACCAACTTTATCATCTATACAATTTTCATTACTCCTATATTGGTTCACGCGATTGATTGACTCTAAAGGCAACTGTGCAATCTTTTTCAAGGCCTTATTGTAACGTACAGTCGCCGTAAATTCAGCTTTTTTGCGAATAGCAACGATATGGAAACGATAGGCGATTTCATTAGATCCCGTTTTGTCCTTTACCCTACGTTCTGCATATTTGATTGTTTTTAGTGACAAACGTTTGCAGTCATATTTTTTGAATGTGGTTCTTAAATGGGTATTGATTTGGTCGATGATTTGCTCAGCTATGGGCAACTTCTTCGCTTGTTTAGAGCTTATGGTCTCATACAGGTCACAGGTGCAATAATGTTCAGGTATTCCCGCATCCAAACATGTGCGGTTCTTGGCTAGAGGTTTGAAGAGCGTTTGACAATGGGGGCAATCCTCCGGCGGAACCAACGGATTTGTCTTTCCTTCACCTAACTGTAGAATATGTTGAAGTGTCATGTGCAAATCGAAGGGAGATGACAAACGATTTCTATTCGCACGTAATGCCTTCACTATCTCCGGATGTTGTTGTCGAAACCAGGCGGGCAGCCATATAAACAGTATTGGCAACCGTTCCTCCAAAAAACCCTGAGGTAGTGCGCGTAATGGACCGAAGCGCATGCCATGATCACTGAAGAAAATAACAATTGATTCCAAATGGCTAAGAGATCTTTGCCAAACAGTTTCACATGAGGAACCTTACACGTTGAAGTATTAATGTAGAATCCTTCGGGTTTTTCACTCAAACGGGGAAGTTTTTTATGACACGTAGCTAGTCTAGGTAGACAAACGAGCAGTAAAATTAACAAGGTAACCACTTCCATTATGGAAGATATATAACAAAGATCTTTCTGTTAAAGAGCGTTTCAAAATAGTTTATGAAGCGTGAGACTAATTGCATTTAATTCGTTGGCTGGGATAATCAGCAATTGATAGCAGTTTTCATGACCCGTAGCAAGTGTAGTTACATAATGAGAAATGAAATCGAAAAGTTAACCACTTCCATTAAGGAAGAGAAATAATAAATATATAAATATCTTTCTTTATACAAGCCTCATTTGTATATGCCAACCTGCGAATAATTACATTCAAGCGAGTTTAATTGAAGAGGCAAGGTTCTCTCAAATTTGCATGCAATATTAGTAACTTATTTTTTATTTAAAGTCTACTCCAAACAGATACAAAACTTTTTACCATTTTTATCTCGTATACACTCTGTTACATCGGTGTATCGATTCAGGCGACTGATCGACTCTACCCTCAATCCTTCAATCTTTTTCTTAGCACTATTGTAACGAACAGTGGCCGAAAATTCTGCATCTTTCGGATTAGCAAAGAAATGAAAATGATATAAATTTCCATCTGATGTCTGATGGTTTTTGGATCGAGCTTCGGCATGCTTAATTCTGTTTAAGGTCAAGTTGCTACAAGGATATTGCCTTAATTTGGTGTGCAAATAATTATTAATTTGATCGATTATTTGCTGAGCTATTGGCAACTTCCTTGCCTCAAACAAAGTCAATGTCTCATAGGGATCGCATGTGCAATAGTGATCAGATATCCCAGCATCCATACATGTACGATTCTCTGCTAGAGGTCTGAAGAGTGTTTGACAATGGGGACAGTCCTTTGGCAGGACCAACGGCATTGGTTTTCCTTCGCCCAACTGTAGAATATGCTGCAGTGTTATGTGCAAATCAAAGGTCGATGACAAGCGATTTCTATTCGCACGTAATGCCTTCACTATCTCCGGATGTTGTTGTCGAAACCAGACGGGTAGCCATATAAACAGTATTGGCAACCGTTCCTCTAAAAAACCCTGAGGTAGTGCGCGTAATGGACCATAACGCATGCCGTGATCACTGAAGAAAATAACAATTGATTCTTCGAATAGACCTATTTTCTCAAACCGCTCCATATAATCTAGTAATGTGGGTTCCAGCGTTTGTGCCGCTTCAAAAATGTCATGCGTAACGCTGGAGGTCCAAAACAGGCCAAATAGGGGATTCGTGCTGTTCTTGTAATGCTCGAAGCACTGCTGGCAATAATCATAAATATAATCCACATTAAAACGCCTCCCAATGCAGTTATATCGATAAAATCGCTCCACAATTGGCAAGTTTTTCTCAATAGCCAAGTAAAATGGACGCAAGTAGTGGTCTACAGGCTGCTGCAGAAAACCAAAGAAATCATCGTCAAATGTGTTTATGTAGCTCATATCCTCGGCATAGGCTGTCACATAGCCGGCCTTCTTGTAAAGCTGCCACATGAAGGGCAGCTTGTCGAGACAGCCCACCGATTTTAAATTGCAAATTTCAGATTCGGTCCTCTCCGGAGTGTAACCCGTAAGCAGGGCGAGGAGATTCGGAAAAGTATTGTCACTCACTTTGTTGTAGCCCTGCATTTCAAACCAACCAGACCGCTGCACATACCGCAGCATGTTGGGCATAGTCCGCCGGAAATTAATGCGCGAGAGACTGTCAATGCCCAGCATTATGACGTTGGGCTTGCGCGGCGGCTGTGGCAGTGACTTTAAAGGTGATTGCAACAGTCGCTGCGCTTTTAACGGCAACGGTAACTGCGTCATTTCGGGCTGAGACTGAACAAAAGAAAAGGCATCTTCTTGTAATAGCTGACCAGTGATAGTCTCACATTTTACAATCATTCCCTCCACATCTGTCGGCACATAGTATTCGCTCTTGAAAGGAGTATCTACGCTTAGTCTGTAAGTTATGAATTGTCATAAATTCGTCATAAATTCGTTAGAAACTTCCCAGTTTGTTTCTGAGAATATTGAGAATATTGTAAGCCAATTATTTACATAATCTTTGTTCGTTATCATCAAACTGCTTGTTTAAAAAATAAATTTAAAACATAAAATTATATACATTTAAATTTTAGAAATGCTTTGGTATAATAAGGAATATATATATGAAAAAATATAAATCTTTGAACGTGAATTGACAACAAACATTTCCAAACTAAAAAATCGAAGTTTAAAAAAATCGAAAGAACAAAGAAAATCATAAAAGTATTCAGATTTTCTCGTCTTAGGGTGATATTCTTATGATTGAAGAGAAAATGGGTCAATTTCTAGGGCTGCCTATATTTCGATCCATTTAAACTTACGTGTAATTCATGTCCGCCCCACTGTCCTCCCCTGCTCGCTTAATGCTTCTATAAGTGCATTTGTAGTGATTGTTTTTCGATTTGTCATACATCATCTGAGGGTCTGCCTTCCTTCCAACGCCTTCGTTCACATACATTACATATTGGTGGCGTTTGGAATCGTAAGCTCTTGTTATCAGATCTTGCTTATCTGTGCATTGTTTGGCAGTCCGTGAATGCCAGATCGCCTTAACTTCTATTCCAAAGAGATCTACATGGGGAACTTTACACGTTGAGGTATTAACGTAGTACCCTTTGGACTTTTCACTGGAATAGCTTCCAAGGTGATGAAGTCCATTACACAGTTCTGGTATGATTAGAAGAATGCGGAGAGAAGCTAAGAGGCTAGACTCTTGCATTGCTACAGAAGAAATAACAATTCCCCACGGTTGACGAATAAGAAAGCGACTAATAACCATATCCAGAAGTGTAATGCAAAATGTATCTTTGGCATTTCAAATTTGTTTTATATGCTAGGAAATTTTCCACCAACAGCTTTTGTATATTTTCTAATATATCCTAATTGGTAACGCTGAATATCTATAGCTGTTCATTTGAATTTCCCAAATTTGTATAAATATATTTATAGCATATTAAGATTTTGTGCAATTCATGTTGACCCCAACACCCTCTCAGCTCTCTTTATGCTGCGATAAGATTGTAGATCAATGTTCCAAGCTCATATTTTTTAAGTGTTCGCATGAAGCAACAACTTGGTGGAATTGAAATGTAAAATCGACTTACGTGGATCCTCATAAGTGGCTACCATTTTAATTGAACTTATCCTCATTTACGCATCCCGATTATATGTAGATAACTTTCTGGATTGTTACGTAGTTAGTTTTCATACAACATAGCTCCTTGCTTCTGAACTTATTTCAATTCCAAATTGCTCTTTCAAGAGCTCTTATACAGTGTGTTTATACGTATCTTGCTGGCGCAGCCACAGCTCTGGAAGGACAATTGTGGAACACACCCACAATGACTCTAGGCAGTGGGATGGTGGTCAGCAAACAGAGAATGGGCGAGTAAATCAAGCAAAATGGTATATAAAAACGTTTTATTTTCTCCTTCTGCCTTTTTATTTTCCGTAAAATTCGATTATTTACGTTATTTTTTGTGTTAGCTGCATTTCCGCATTAAATGATATTTCCTTTTGCCAACGGGTTGGCATGCAATGGAGAACCCAATTATTTGTCCAAGGAGCAGCAGCAGCAGTGGAAAAATGCAAGCAATTTGTAAGGAAATGAAGCGTAAGCAGCCACATACAGAAAATAGAGTGTACTATGTGGGAGCAAAAGAAAATTGTCTTGTGGCTGCGCAAATAGAAAAAAGAGTGGGCTGGAGGGCAAACAAAAGATCAAATTAATACCAGCAGCATCAGCTAACGGAGTCAGGAAACAAACACAGCTGCCCCAGTCGTTCGTTATGGGGTTAAACGGCAAAAGAAGTCAATAGACAACTTGCAGCACGTAAACATTTGAACAGTTGCTGGTTGCTGCATTGCAACATTGTCAACTGGTAAGCGGCAGGTGGCAGTTGGTATAAAAAGTGGGTGATGCCAGAACGATGGCATCACAAACACTTCCTGCCTTTAACGAGCAACAGTTGGGGCAACAGATCACCACCTTCGAACATGTCCACCAAATACACATTAGTCTTTGCGCTTCTGGCGCTTTGCTGCCTAGTTGCCACAGATGCGGCAGCGCAGCGAAATCGCGGAGTCGCCGCTCGTCGCAGCAATGACGAGACTGAGAAGAAAAACGTAGACCTGCAGAAAGCCGTCCAGGAAAATGAAGAGGAAGAGGACGAAGATCAGGCTGAGGATCAGGAAGACGATAATAAAGAGCTTGAGCAAGAGGCTCGCAAAGAGGACAACCAAGTAGCAAATGCCGACGTGGATAGCAAAGTCTCCGGAACTAAAGCTACCACCAATAAGGACGATGCTCGTGCCAGACGTCGCCGTGTAAGTCGCAGCGGCCGCCGAAAGGGTCGTCGGGGCGGACGTCGCGGTGGTCGCAGACGTGGTGGTCGTCGCGGTGGTCGCAGGCGTGCTGGTCGTCGCGGTGGACGCAGGCGCGCTCGTCGTGGCCGTCGCGGCAACCGTCGCATCGTCCGCGTGGGTTAAGATCTGACCATTGCAAACACATCGCTATTATCGGTCGCACACACACACATACACAAACATACAAAGCACACACACAGGCAGAATGGGAGATAATTTTGTTCCGACCTAGAACTAAATTATGTAAATTATTTTAATAAAATATTTTCACATTTTAACAAAATCTAAAAACCGTCTTTTCAAATCCACCAATGTGTATATACATATTTGTATTAATACAAGAGTTTCATATTACTTATAAGTGGGTTTCCTGACATAGACAGTTTAATATAGCAATATAATCGTAGAAAGCTCATTCGACTAGGAAAGCAGAGTCAGCAGATCTGGTATTACAGAGCTGAAGACGGAACGACGAAAAGGGCAAGACGTGCGCAGTAGATTCATTAAAACATGTTGCCAAATATATTTTGGCTATAACTTTAGGAAAACCTATACGTATATTCATCGATAAAGTAGTAGACCAAGCCCCACACTTGTTACGATAAAAAGTAAGAGGAACTTATAATGATCGAACCTATAGCAGCTTCATAGAACACTGATGCTATATGTACATGGTGTAGAATTATAATTTGCTTTACGTATGGATAAGACAAATCTATAGATGGTGGCACTAGCTGTTCTGCTTTAAAAGTATGTTTACGTTATTTCTTTTCAAATGGATCCTACAAAATCATGCATTTATCGTAGCAATCTACGGCTATAAATGACAGTTGTATAAAAAACATGTGTACTTAAACACATCAAAAAAATTTTAGTGCTGCCAAATCATTTAAAATTTTTAGTTTAAAACCTTCTGGTTCTTAAAAAACAAAAAAAAAGGACCCATTCCACGATTTTATCATATAATTAAATAAACCGCAATCAGACAATGCTGCGCAAGAAAGAGAAAGATCTAGCCGATGCGCTTACAGTATATGATGTGGCTCCTTGGTATCGCCAGTTGTCAGTCGAACAGCTTCGAGCGATTGAAATATTACCCGATGCGCTAAGAGATGATGACGAGCAGGGTACTACGTTTCGCGTACGTAAATGCCTAACTGATCTAGGAATAGTCCCATTAATTGATCGAAGGCCACTTAAGAAACTGATAATTCATAGTCGAGGGGATGATATTGCCTTTCTATATTTCTTGCTCGAAGGCTTCTATAGAACGGGGACAGAAGCAGAGATGGAAACAAAAACAAAATACACAACCTACGAACAGATCTTAATGTCTAGCATTCAACATCTTGATTTGGAACTGACTTTACGGGAGCTAGATCGGATTTTGCCACCAGGACACCTCAACAAACGCCAGATGCGCCAATTGCGGCAACGACGGGTGGAAAAGGCTAAGGAAGCCAGAGGGCGGGGCACAGTAAAGTTTCATGTACCGGGCCGAATGGAAAATCTTCCCAGTGTGATGCCATACTTTTTGCGTCATCCCAGACCACAAAAGCCCAAAAAGAATAAATTCATATGCAAGTATCCAGACGTCATTGCACACTTTCCCTTCTGGCCTGCACATAAGCAACAGCAATTTAATATCAAAAGAGAAAAACGCTGGTACGCCGATTACAAGCTTCAACCGGTGCTCAGGTTGATCAAGGAGGTCGTCAATGGCGTTATAGATGACTACTGGCATCAAATGAATTGTGGCACGAAGGTAGTAAACCACGACCAGTTATGCGCCTATCACACGTTTATGCAGGAGCAGGAGCAATTAATAAAGGATGAGATGACTCTGAAGGCTCGCGATCGTTGCATCGAAATGGTTGACGTAACCGGTCGACAGAGCAAGCAACGCCACTCTCGCATTATCGACCTATTGGACAGGGAAATCGAGGAATATACGCAACGATGCCAGAAACTAAAGCAAATGGATTTCACAAACACAACTGTAATGAAAAATTGCGAGCTATGCGCCAGTCGGGTACCCACCACCATGCAGGAGGATGAAGTCAAATTTATGATTGAAGACACCGATATAGGACGCACCAAATCTGCCACCTCGGGGCAAGTAGTTCGACTGAGCGAGCAGCGAACTCTGCGCTCAGTAGGTGGCGTTGATGTCTTGGGAAAAGATCCAGCGGAGGTATTAAAGCAGAAGAAACTAAACGCAGCCTGTCCCAGTCATCTAAAACATCGCCCGAAACCAACGAAACCGAAGAAACGCAGAGTCTCTATATTGCCCGGCGATCACGTGCATGTAAATAATTCGAACTGCAGTTGCAAGAGGCGCGTGTCGAACACCCACAAGGCAGGCAAGCAATGCTTCATAGCCGCGCAGCTACATAAACCCTATCGATTCCAATATCAGCACACTTTTCACGACGAGTACAGACCCCCCACAGTGGACTGCGTGATTCGGCGCCAGGCCGTCCGGTCTTTGCGCAGCTCCAACTCAAATTGTTGTAGCTGCACGTCGGCCAGCTTTATCGAACGTTGTCCCCGCGCCAAGGTGGTCGATGCCATTGCGACCTGCGCAAAGAACATGTGGAGCAAGTCCCTTCAAGCGTATCAGCTGCTGACAAAGGACGAGAAGGTAACAAAGGGTGGCAAAGCGTGCAAGAACGACAATGTAACCGAGGAGGGCTTGTTGCAATACGACCAGACCTACTTTGATGCCAACGATATAGAGCTGATGGATCGAATGCTACAGGATGGCTTGAGACTATTGCGCCGCGACAAGCGCTTTGTGCTCGCCAGTTTTCCCAACGCCCACAAGCTTCAGGTGATGCGCGAATGGATCAAGAGACGCTACGGCCAGCGTTATACCCAAAAGAATATTGCGCAGTTCATTAAGCGTGCACAAGCTATGGTTAGTGCTATCGTTGCAATGCAATCGACTCCACCGAATTTACAAGCGCACGATGTACCACTGGAACCAACCACCTACGGTAGGCACCAGGAGCTGATGGTGAAGGCAGAAACGGTGAAGAATAATTACAAACGCCTCCTGAACAATGAGTTGATGCAGCACATATCCCACCTATGGAATGCCATGAACTGCATATCCTGCAACAATGCAGCTATAAGAGATGGCTTCTACGCCTATCTGCCAGCCCGAAATGTCGACGTCCTGCGCGTATGTCCTTGGAATGGAGATTTCAGAAACATAAAAACGTATCGCGAGGATCGGATAGCTACAGAGCTTGCGAAACAGAGTGGTAAACCAATTTAGGTCCATCTTGAAATTCTGGTTGTAGTTTTGTGTTTTATTTTATTGTACAATTTTCGTTTTATAACTAAAGATTCAGTCAATAAATAAACAAAAATTATTCAATTAAAAGTATATAACAATAACATTTAGCCAAAAAACAAGCCGCAAAGGTCTATAAGTATATAGTCGTAGTTTACTGACAACCGGTCATGCATTAGTTGTGCTCGATTGCTTATTCTCTTTAAATTGTTAAGAAACTAATCAGCTTTTTGGGATCATCATATACTTATGATAATATTTCCCGATGGTTATCGGAGGCCTAGATGTTATTTTCTGATCTGTATTTCTGGTCCTCTAACAAAACTAGTTGAGTTTTTAGCGCAGTTTAATTATGTTATTAAAGTTAGTAACCCTTAGACTTTAGGCTGAAGTCCTAATTCGTCAAAATTTACGGACTTTGTAGCGCTCTTAAAGCTTTAGTCACATAATTCACTGCACAAACACACGCACACACACGCATACGCTCACACATGCAAAACTTTTCAGCAGGCCCAGAATTTCGTTGATCTGGTTGCAGCCGTGGCTGGCCAGCCTCTCCACCCCGAAGAGCAACAGAATGGAGCAGGCGACGTGACATGTGACAAGATGTTGTTGCTGTTGCTCCAACATCTGTTGTTGCTGGAGCTGTGTCTGCCCAGTTACCAAAAATGATGAATGTGCCAATGCAGTCAGCTGGTCGCCACCGCCTCTCATCATACACTACGGCAAACTTCTTGGCGCTGTTCGCTGATGGTGTTGCCAAAAGTTTTGCGGCCGCCAAGTTCTGAAGCGGTCTATTTTGGTTTTTTTATTTGTTTCCTAAGATTATGATGCAACACTTGGCAGAACAGCAACATTCACGGCTCGCTGCTGTCAATGAAAAGTTTAGGAGTATCAACACAAAAGTTTTTATAGTGTAACAGAGTCGAGTCGACGTGGTGCTGGATTCACAGGGCTGAGACTGCAGAAAATGAGTTTGCCAGTGTTGTAAAATGTTTCGCTGCAAGCACATTAAGCCGCAAATTGTTTGTGGGCATGAATGTGTGGGCAACTTGCATGCCGCAGGAAATTAAACCCATACGTTGAGGCAACATCCTTGTGCAGCAATATCAACATACAGACACCCTCACAACCTGCCCCGCAATCCCCCACATCCGCCCCACAATGGCACAATTTGATGGGTAGCCAACCAACTGCATTGATGAGCTCTTTCTATTGTAGTGCTGGTGCTTCAGTACCACAGCACCGACTGCATTTCGCAAGCTGGAAACTCTGCTGGAAACTGTTCATTAAATTCAGGAGCGCAAATAATGCTAACAATAATAATAATGAGCCGCGAGCAACTGTCGGATACACATGCACGGTGCTATCTCAAATTCTTTGAAATGAAAAGGCATTGGAGTTTGGTGTTTTTTTCAATTTCCTATCCATACGCTTATCAGCATTTAAGTTTAATGAATAGACCAACAAGGCACACATACGCACATAAATACACACACATATAGGTATGTATTTGGAACGAAGCTTGTCTTCCGTGTGCATCTGCTGGCTGTTTGAAAAACAATGAGCTGCTATTGTTTGTCTTTTAGCAACAACAAAGGCCAAGAGCATAACAATTTTGATATGACAATAAGGTAAATGAAATGAATTTGGCTGTTGTGTTGACTGTAGCTCACACAATACATATATATATGTGTGTGACTATACATACTCGTACACATACATATATACCTATACATCCAACGGAACATACACAAATGGCCAATGATAGTAGCTACCAACTGAAAATTTAATTTTGATGCTCACATGAACAATGCACGTTGAATATTTAAGAATTTGAGAGCTGGAGGGTGAAGACTAATTGTTTGTATGCGGCTTACTCCGAGCTTAATTGGGACAGTAGGCAGCAGCTGTTTAAGTTCTCAATTGTTTGTAAATTGACTCTAAATTAATAAACAATGAAATTCCACAAAGAATTGTATTCAGACAAATACAGTACACCTCAAAGTATGTGCGTTGCTAGGCGTGACAGACAGTTTCTTTGGTGCCATTACTATAAAGAACTAGAATTATGATTGGATCAGAAAATAGTTAATGGACAGATCCCTCTTTCGTCGTATTAAGCAAAATCTTTACAAGTCCCTTATCTTCTCCGTGCTCCTTTAAGGTGCTGAAGTATGGAAAAAAAAACATTGTCAGGTTATCAGGCTATACTGGCGGCTTCGAAAGAAAGATTATGAAACGAATCTTAAGCTGCATCAGCTTTTCGGCGATTCAAGAGGCAGTGCTTGATGACAGTGCTCCAGCCAAAAATTTATTTAAGAATTATACATTTAATATAAGTACAAATCAAGCCATTTCATTACAAACCAGTATACCTATACATACAACAACTCATTACCTAATTATGGTTACAGTAGAGCTTACTTAAGTTTCATTATATTCCTCTTGCATATTCTGTACTTGTCTTAGGAAGCCTAGATCTTTCAAAAAGATCCTGCTTCCGTATTCAGCGACAGGTCCTTTTCCTACCTTTGCAACTTCTTACATACATACGCGGGAAAACATTTATTGTTATAGCTAGTGGACTTATAGTCAAATGAATCTCTTTCAAGCTTGATGGCTTACAGTTTATTTCCACTTAGCCAACAATGCGAGTCCTACAGAGTAAATTAAATAGAAATTCAATTTCTCATGCAGTTGAAAAACAAAAATCTGTTATTCAAATTGACTTGACTACAATTGTTTCTGAGCGACCCTCCCCTCACCCATCATGCATTATAAATGTCCTCTGCATATTGGTAGTTTTACTTTCTTTTTTTTTTTTTTGATATTTTTCAGATTTTTGTGACAACAACAATAGCAGTTGTAACGGCATTTGGGGCATACGCAATGGAAAAGAAAGAAAATCACACGACGATTTTCAATTGAAAGGCGGAAATGTAACGGAAATAAATTTACATAAATACAATATGGTGCGTGCTTGTTGGTGCCATTTTATTTGTACAATATATATCGAATGCACAGGCTGGTGGGCTGCCAGGCTGGCAGAAAGGCAGTATTGGTATTGGTCGGGGGAGGTAAACAGAAAGGCTGCGGCACATATTTGCACAGAAGTGCGTATTGATTTGCCTTTTGGGGATGTGCCAGCCTGTTAAAATTGTTGTGATCAATGCTTTCTTTTTTTCATGATTGAACTTTAAAGTTCATTTAAGAACTTCCACCACCACGCATATTTATGTTACGTCACGCCCCAAAAATATTTGTACCAAAATTTGGCACACTATCACGTATCGGGCCACACACCTGCTTGACTGCCTTGCCCAAGAGGCAACCACCCCACCCCCTAAGCACCAACACATACGCATTCCTTTACCTGGTAAGTAGGAAGCATTTTCGTATGCAGCATGCATTATTTGCATAAGATAAAAGATGAAAAACAGTCCAGGACGAGTGGCGGCGAGCAAGTCAGAGTTTTCGCTCCTTCAATGTGCCACCCGGCAAAATGCGAAAATGTATTTTCTATAAAAGCCTGGCAAAAAAAAAACAGGACGCATACGGGACGACAACGACAACGATGACGATGGCACTGATAAAGACAACACACATGGAATGTTGCCACCATAGCCGTTGGACGTCGTCGTTGCCATTTTGTTGCATTTGCAACTTATGCATATGTGCATCAGGCACAACCTTCCCCTCCCCCTCTCACTTCCCTCTCCCTTCCACCAACCAACCAGCAATCCGTGCGACTTACACTAAAAATTACATTTTCCGTGCACGAACGTTTGCCTCAGCCAACGGCACGGCCATGCGAAAAGACTTTTGTCGTACTTTGTTTGTACTTCGAGGTACAAAAAATAAAATGAAAATAAAAAAAGAAAAACGCTTAAGAGTACCGTTGCCAAAGTGCACAGTGTTCGAAGACGATATAAACTAATTGTATGGAAACAATAGGTTTTATTAATGCCACACTTTTACTTAAATGACAATAACGTCTATATTTGTTAACCAACTTTCTTGTATGGCTTGAATGGTAAGGCAAAAAATATTTAAATAAAAGTAAACAGGAGTATTTCAAAATATCGCTCTTCAAACAAGTTTTAAGGCTATCATAACGATTGTTTATTAATGGCAGCGAACATTAACGAAGAAGCATTTGAAAATGTACTTGACATGGAATTTAATATATATAAATTGATATTGATAACCAAAAACTGCTCTCATTGGTGGACGCTAATGACCGGTTTTTAACCGCATTTGAATCATCAACCACTCCCTAAAGTCGCCTGATTTGGCTTCGTGGGACTATTACCCTTTTAGAAAATTACAATTGGCCATGAATGGAAATCGCTATAAAGACATTGAAGTCATTCAAAAGACTTCTTGATCGTTGTATTAATTTGAAAGATGAATATTTTGAATTCAATAAACTAATTTTGCCAAAATATCAATATCATTAAAAAGAAAAGGATATTTATATGATAACCTTTTCTGTGTAGCAAATTTCTATTCGATACTACAAAATGATATTTAAAATTATCACCTACCGCCAGTAAATCAGCTATGCGATTAGCTTTCTCTATGGGAATGAGAAATTTTCACAATCGCATGCTGGCAGAGCACTGTGCAAGAATATTTTAAATGGCACAGAAATCGGTTTCTTGCCACTCGTACGTTTGGCATATTTTACAAATGCATTTGACATAAATTTTAAAGGGCTTAACGGCAGCGAAGTGCCAGAGTTTGGTAATGTGGCGCCTGATAAGCAGACGGCATGTTATTGGGTCGTTAAATCATTTGGGTGTGTGTGAGTGGGGACATAAATAGCGGCAATTATGGCAAAGGATCATAAAAAATGCAAAGGGTTTTATAAGCGCAGCAACAAGTTCTTGATCAAATCAGAACAAAAGAGGCATTCGGAGAAAGGGGGAGTGCCACGACTGTCAGACCACAATCATCACTCACTCGGCACTTGAGCTGCACGCGCATTGAATAATAGTAGTTTTCACAGCTCGCTTGCCATTTTTACATATGTATGTGCGAGTATGTATGTATGTATGGATGAAAGGCAGAAGAAGCTCAGCTCA